CAGGAATCCCAAGTGAGATGTTTAGATCACTTACCCAATGGTGTGGATTGATGCAAATATGTACGTCAGTGGTTCTGAGTCCTGGTCCTGGTGGGCCAGTATCCAACAAAACACCTGATTTCAATCAGCAGGTGATTAGCAGGCTTCTGTAAGTCTGACGAGCTGCACAGCTGATTCATCCACTGATTCAAGTGAGTTGGAGGAGCAGAGCAACAATGAAGACATGCTGTATACTGGCTTGTATGCAGAGTTTTCTGAGTTTTGGACATGTGAAACCTTAGACCTCCTCTTAAATATGCTTGTTTTCTCATGAACAAGGATGATTTATTTTACTTCTCTGTCAAAAGGGAAAGGAAAATTATCTTCTTGAAGACAAGGACAACAAAGACCTGAATGAAAGGCCTAAGGAGGGAGAAGTGGAGTAAAATGTGAATAAGCTCACATAAATGACAATTTCTCTACAGGTGAAAAGCTTCAGATGATTTATTTTTTAACTGGAAAAGTTCCTCAGATGATGGTCACATTGTAGGGATCAGTGAGGAGTAAAACTAAAAGAAGTCCACTGAAATATTTATCATTTCATCTGTTGAGTGTGAATCAGATGAGCATACAAAGCTGCAGTGCTCTTGTTTGATTTGCCTCTGTGCTCTGGGATGCCGTGTGGGTTTATCGTCAGCATCCTGGCCCACTGGCTCTGGTGGCACCAAGCCAGCAGCCAAATGTAATCCCACCAAGAATCAAAGCTGTCTCGTGTCTTGTGGTCTGGAAGAGTTCCAAAGGTGACCGAGATGTGACGATGAGGAGTTTTCTGCTTCAGCACTGATACATTAAAGCTGTAGACATGGATTTCAACAATTATTTGTTCTAATTGATGTTTTATGAGAAATTTGTCAAATTAAATGAAAGTAAATGCCTCATTAAGATTGATCAAGACAGAATGGTGCAACAAAAATGTTTTTATTAGTATGTTATAAAAAATACCCAGTTTTAAATTATTGTGAGGCTCACAGCCTGTGGAGGTTCCCTCCTCCAGCTAACATGTGTTATGATACAACTGAAATAAAACAAGAACAGGTTAATCATAAAGGGTCTGATGAAATGGGTTTGTTTTTTTGTCCTTTTTTCTATGAAATATTTAAATGAGACTCCAAAAAGTAAAGTGGATCATTGAAATAAGCTATTTAAAAGAAAAATATATAAATTTCTATTAATTTTGGTCAATTGAAAAATAATAATAGAAAAAAATAATACAGCAAGAAGCCTTTCATTTCAATGAAAATATATAAATGTATTAAGATTATTAAAAATCTGCCTGTATTTAAAAACAAAGGAAAACAAGATTCCTGGGTTGTTGCGCTTCAGATTTTCTATTTTCATTTTGAAATAAATAAATAAATAAATAGAATAGCTGCATCGTACCTGTTTTCCTGTGGATACATGCCATTTCCCCCCTGATGCCTGAGGATTTTAGTTTGTGGTGACACATCTTCTAAACAGGCACCGCTTTAATATGTTTTGTACCAGGACCTCTCATTCTGCACTTGCAGCTGGATATTTTTCACATATTCTTCATGCTGGTGTGTTTTCACACAGAAGCATAGCTGGGAATAAGGCTAATGTTAGCTCATGTCCTCTTTGTTTTGATGTGATTGAGTTGGTACAAGCTCCGGTCTGGTCTGGGAAATTCCTGGGATCCCTCAGCAAAAGATGGAATGTGGAGACGGGGACATCCAGGCTTCCCCCTGAACCTGTTGGATGTTTGGATGAATGTGCACTTCCAGATGTGACACACATGTGAAGGTCATGAGATTGAGGTGTAAAATATCAGACAGACATCATCAGTGAAAAATTTACTTGGGTTAAATTAAATGAGCAATATTCACATGGACTATTTCTGCAGCTGCATTGCAATACATTGAAAAATTAATTTGTTGAAGAACAGGACTTATTTAGCATGCAGAGTGTGTGTGCTGGAAATCAGGATGTCGAGAGGCGTGTGCCTCTTGCAATCACATGGTAGGGTGGTGCTTCTGCATTTTTAATGTCTATCATAAATACTTTGTGTGCGTGTGTGTGTGTGTGTGTGTGTGTGTGTGTGTGTGTGTGTGTGGGCATGTGTGTGTTTGTCTGCGCATGTGCGTGTTTGTCTGCGCATGTGCGTGTGTGCACGCATGTGCATGCATGTGTGTGTGTACATGCATGCATGTGTGTGTGTGTCTGCGTGTGTGTGCACGTGGGCATGCGTGTGCATGCATGTGTGCGTGCATCTGTGTGTGTGTGTGTGTAGGAGTGTGTACATGCATGGGTGCGCGCGTGTGTGTGTGTGTGTGTGTGTGTGTGTGTGTGTGTGTGTGTGTGTGTGTGTGTGTGTGTGTGTGTGTGTGTGTGAGAGAGAGAGTGTGTTTGTGTTTGTAATGACGGGCATCACTGCTGTACTTCACGTGTTAGAGACTTTTGTATAAGTCTAGTGATGTGGTCAGTGTTCATCTGCAGGAGAAACATCTTTTATTCCACAGAAAAAAAGAAGACAGTGACTGCTCAGCATGAGGCATCAGGTGTCATTAGCTTATACAGCATCTAAGCAGCATGATGAAACTCAGGTAGCTCTGCTGTTTCAGCCAGTGTCATACCAGGAGGAAGAAAGAAACAATTTGATATATTTAATATATTGTAGTTTGTGAATGGAACTAACACTTCTAGGTTTAATTGTAATAATACACTGAATTAGTATTTTATTATTAAATGACATTGCCAGTAGGGGTGGATTATTGGTGTGATCCGAAGTAACCTCTCTTAAGTATTATGGTTGCCTTGTGCCTGTAAAATCTTCAGGTAATAGGACTGAACACACATGTGATTAAAGGCCAATAAAGAAGGACGTATAATAGCTTGTTCAGAGAGTAGCAGCAGAAAACATGCACATGGTTCAGGATCAGGGCGACCCAAATAGTGGCAATGATATTTTGAGAGTGTGTGAGTCATTCGATTTGAAAACAAGGCAGAGTGTGAAACGACTTGTTCAGAGCGCAGTGAGCAGTTCACAACAGTGGTTGTACTGTGGGAGGGAGAAGGAGTGTAGTAGGTTGTTCACAGAAATCTGTTCTAGCAGTAAGAGAACCAGGGATATTTGTAAATTCAAGACTTCCTGAAGTATGTACAGGGGTACATACAGATAACTACAGAGTACTTATATGCTTCAACCAACCCACTGTCATCTGGACAAAGCAGGCAGCACTGTGAGGGTCATGTTCTTTGATTTCTCCAGTGCATTTAACACAATTCAGCCTGATGTGCTTTGCCAGAAACTCCAGAAGACACGGGTCGGGGCCTCAACTATCGCCTGGATTAAAGACTACCTGACAAACAGACCACAGTTTTTGAGGCTGAAGAACTGCACATCAAACCAGGCAATCAGTAACATTGGAGCACCACAGGGGACTGTACTCTCACCATTCCTTTTCACCCTGTACACCTCAGACTTCCAGTACTAATCAGAGACCTGTCAATCTACAGAAATACTCAGATGACTCTGCAGTTGTCGGGTGTATCAGAGATGGACAGGAAGCTGAGTACAGAGAGCTGGTGGAGTGCTTTATGGCATGGTGTGGAAACAATCATCTGGCCTTGAATGTGAACAAAACAAAGGAGATGATTTTAGACTTCAGAAGAAACAGGGTGGAGTCAAAACACTGTTTCCATCATGGGAGAAGAAGTGGAGGTGGTTGAGGAATACAAATACCTTGGAGTTCACCTGGACAACAGACTGGACTGGAGAAAGAACAGTGAAGCCGTTTACAAGAAGGGACACAGCAGACTGCACTTCTTGAGGACGCTTAGGTCCTTCAATGTCTGTAGCAAGATGCTGCAGATCTTCTACAAGTCTGTTGTTGAGAGTGTCATCTCTTCAGCCATCGTCTGTTGGGGTAGCAGCATCAGAAGCAGGGGCCTGAAAAGGCTCAACAGCCTAATAAAAAAGGCTGGTTCTGTTCTGGGGACGACTGTGGAACCACTGGAGGAGATAATACAAAGAAGGATTCTCCAGAGAATCAAGAAAATGATGGGCAACCCTGAGTATTCTCTTCACAAGACTGTCCGACAACGGAAGAGTGTCTTCAGTCAGAGGCTTCTTCAGTTTCGCTGCAACACTGACCGCTACTGGAGATCCTTGCTGCCAACAGCCATTGTGATATACAATAACTCTTTGATGACTTGATTATTATTATTATTCTGAGCTACTACAGCAATTAATTTCCCTCTGGGATTAATAAAGTATTTTTTTAATTGAATTGAATTGAATATGGGTATGTAAAGAGTACTTATAGGGGTATTTACAGGGTTCTCACAAGGGTACATATAGAGTATGTACAAAGTGATTACAGGGGTACAAAGAGGGGTGCTCTACAAAGACCAGACTGTATTGTACAGTGACTTATTTCCCAGTGCATACAGGGATGTACAGGGTACGTACATAATTAAATATTTAAACCACAGGAGCAATATGGAGAAAACTACTTGTGGTTTTGATGCTGTGACTTTGGGACACCATGGGGTACCTTCAAACAGCAACGTCGCCATGCCTACTGCTATTGGATCAGTTACATGTTATTCATTTGTGAATATGTAAAAAATTAAACTAAAAACATCTAATTGTTCTTATTTCATCTTGGGTGTGTTTCTTGTTTCCTAAAGAAATGTCCCACTTGCTTTTCTGTCAAGTGCCTGAAACACCAGCAGCTGTGAATTCATTTATGCTATATCCGCCTTCCTATTTTGGTTTTACACAAAGAAAGCAGAGGAGTTCATCTATTTATTGCTCATTATACATTGCTCCTTTCCATGGAATCCATCCATACTTATCATAGCTTCAATAACAAAATAATTGAATGATCTGAATGTTTTTGTGTATTATGAGCAAGTACAATAAAATCAAGTGTAAGAAATCTAAATTACAAGATACTGACTGATGATTACCTTCTTTTTTTCTTCTCTATCTCTTTCAGTTTATTGCCTTTGCATCTTTGTTCTTCATCCTGGTTTCCATCACCACTTTCTGCCTGGAGACTCATGAAGCTTTCAACAAAATCATCAACAAAACTGAAACACGGAATAGCAGCGGGCCTGACTCAGGTCCTCAGTATGAAATAGAAACGGATCCTGCGCTCACATATGTGGAGGGTGTCTGTGTCTTCTGGTTTACGATTGAATTCCTCGTGCGTGTGACGTTTTGCCCGGTCAAGTTGGAGTTTGTTAAAAGTGTTCTCAATATCATCGACTTTGTGGCCATCTTGCCCTTCTACTTAGAGGTTGGGCTGAGTGGCCTTTCTTCAAAGGCTGCCAAGGATGTGTTGGGTTTCCTCAGAGTGGTGCGTTTTGTACGCATCCTCCGTATCTTCAAGCTAACACGTCATTTCGTAGGGCTGAGGGTGCTTGGTCATACTCTGCGGGCCAGCACCAATGAATTCCTGCTGCTAATCATCTTCCTGGCATTGGGAGTGTTAATCTTTGCCACCATGATATATTACGCTGAGAGAATTGGTGCCAAGCCTAATGACCCTACAGCTGCCCTCCACACAAAGTTCAAGAACATCCCCATTGGATTTTGGTGGGCTGTGGTAACCATGACAACACTAGGCTATGGTGACATGTATCCAGAGACCTGGTCAGGCATGGTGGTGGGAGCGTTGTGTGCTTTAGCTGGTGTACTAACGATAGCCATGCCTGTGCCCGTTATTGTCAATAACTTTGGAATGTACTACTCTCTGGCCATGGCCAAGCAAAAGCTGCCTAAGAAGAGGAAGAAACACATCCCTCAGGCAGTGCAAGGAGGTTCCCCGACCTACTACAAAGCGGATCTCAACGCCACCTGCAACAGCACCCAAGGTGACCTGTGCCACGTCAAAGGGAGCAGGGTACTAGAACACAACTGTTCAGGTAAGAGTGTGGGAGAGGATGCTCTTCTTTCTAATTACTGCAGCAGTTAAATGTACACGGGCTTCCCTTTGAGATGTCTTTTCTTTGTGACCAACAATTACACATACAGAACCATCATAGCACGTATGTCCTGCAGCCTTTATCTGTGGTTGCCTAAGTACTAAACGTTCTGTGAAAATAATAGCTCAAGCTGAGAAAACCGTAGAGTACCTGGTTCAAGATATTTACTCAGTAGCGATTGTTTATTTGTTGTTCAGGCTCCAGCAGGTCCATGTGAGTAATGTACTCTGACACATCTGGTATTGATGGAAACGAGCTCTGACCTCTGGATACCAGCTTTATTTAAATTCTGGAGCAGAGATTCCCAAGGGTAGATGAGCACTCTTGGTTCCTTATCCATTAGGTCTCACAATCTGATAAAAAATACTGGATAATTTATATCTTGACTGAAAGCACAAGCAATGTCGAGTTAATTATGTCTCAGTGCTCTTTGAATATGTGCATTTTATATTTGTTAGTGTTTGATTTAGTACAGTTTTGCAGGGATGCTAAATGGTAAATATAGTAAATGTCCAGATTTAAAACAAATGTGTGGAATCATTTTAAAGCGCAGAAATAAAAATCATTTTTCATTTATTATTATTTGCAAAGAGGGCAATGGCAAGGCCAGACCAGCAGGACAAAAAAATGATCCCACTGCCCAGAAGTGGGTGTGTGGTAAAGGGAAAGCCACTGTGCAACTGACCTCCAATGTCAAAGGAAAGCTACTAAAACCCCACTGATGATATATTCTATCATTACAAATGGCATAGGCTGGTGTGAAAGTGACACTTAATTTTCAGCCTCTGGAGATGTGCTCCATTTTTGCCAGACATTACAGAGCATCTTTGGGGTTTGACCATTATTAGCTATTCATCACATGTGTCTCATTCTTTGTGTATGATGGAGTAAGTTATCAAAACTTGACAGGTAATTTTTGTTGTTGTTTTTCTGCATTTGGTATTTTGTGGACTCAGGTAACCACTACAACAGCAAGAACTGGAATGTAGGATAACATTAAAAAACTGCTTTTAGAATAGTTTTGGGTAACAGGTATTTTGACGATTCCTGGTGTATGCAGACATCCTGGTAAGTTTATTTTTGTGAAACCCTCAGTGGTACCATCGTTGTTTTCCACATGAACTGCACAATGTTTGACCTTAAACGTGAACCTTACAGCACAATGGTGTGTGACATTTAGTGTATGCTTTAATGTGGAAGGGTGTTTGATGTTTCTCATGACTCCCCTGTGACCTCAAGCTTCCCCATCCTTTCACACATCCTGATTTCAGCTTCTTTTTCCCTGCAATGATACAGCAAAGCCAGGCAACTGGAAAAGTGGGAAGTAGGTTAGATGATTCTTGTTGATCTGGCAGGCACAAAGGGTTAATAAGTCATTGTTAATCTGGTTTGATCCTCTGCCTTGGGCAAAACACTGAACCCAGCGGTGTTCCCAGTGGGCTCATTTGGTTGTAATGGTAAAGAAAAAACGCAGCAGGCTTTTGATCTTGGTGCTTTTAAGTTTTAAAAGTACAATCAATGTAAATCTTGGGAATTTTTCTATAACGCATTTCCGGAGAACCTGCATGAAAAAAATGTCCGGCTCAGTGACTATTGGGCCATTTCAGAATACATACCCCAGTGCAGGCCCATTGGTCCCTGAAATGGCCCGTGAAATGGTCCTTTCAGGCTGGCCTGGTGAAATGGAGACACGCACAGGCCATGAAGATCCAGTAGTGGAAGTGGTCCTATACATCAGCCTTTGGTCGCTGTTTTCAACTGAATTCATCAAAACTTGTTTGGAATGTAAATCATTAACACTGCCAACTCTTTTAACCCTTCCACTGTCTTATTGGGCAACCCCACCAGGAAAGTTGACCTTTGAGCTGGGTTGATGGTTTATCCCTTGAGGTCCACATGGCAGGGGATGAGGAGTGAGCACACCGTCACTCCTGCCACGTGGACCTCAAGAGATAAACCATCAACCCTGCTCAATGGTCAACTTTCCTGGTGGGGTCATCCAAAAACACAGTGGAAGGGATAACATTAACAGCTGGTGTTTAAAAGTGTAACAATTAACTGATCTATATATCTATATATCTATATATCTATCTATATATATATATATATATATATATATATATATATATATATATATATATATATATATATATATATATATATATGCATTGATTTTATGGTCATCAATCCAAAATGCAAAGTTCGATAACATAATTCTGTATCAAATGCACTTTATTTTGAAAAATGCTTTAGTTTGAAGTTATTGAAATAATAATGGATTAGATAAATACAGTGCATCTGGAAAGTATTCATAGCGCTTGACTTTTTCCACTTTTTTGTTTATGTTACAGCCTCATTTCAAAATGGATTAAATTCATTTTGACAATATCATTCAATACACAACACCCCATAATGATAATGTGAAAAAAGTGCCTTTGAAGTTGTTGCAAATATATTAAAAATAAAAAACTTGAGAAATCACATGTACACATCAAGGAATCAAAGACATAGGAATGATTGGAGAATTGTGTTATGATTTTCTCAGTTTTGTCAGCGGACTGCAGTGGGGGCAGTGACCTCAGCTTGTCTCAAGAGGAGCGGGTGCCCATGCGCAGGTCCAGCACCATAGAACAGGACCGCCGGAGTGGGGGCACATGTTTCCTCCTTGCTGCTAGTGACTACACCTGCCCTGCAGATGGAGGGATAAGAAAATCAGGTAACTGCAAGTGTAAGTTCAACCACTTTTCTACATCATTATTTATAACCTTTAATACTAGTTATTTTACTATACTGTCAGTTGTTTATTAAAATCAGTTTATTTACATTAAGCATGCTGAAAAGAGGCCTTTCTCTGTGCATTTTGACCAACTGATATTTAATTCAGTTAGAAATAAGTCAAATAGAAAAGGGCCTTAAAAAGACAAGACATCAATCTGAATCCTCATCAGGTGATCCGTGTCCTCAGTGACAGGTACACCAACATCTCTGGAGGGAGGAAGGCTGTTTGTTCAGCACTAGTCAGTTCAGGTAACGTAACTTGTGCACCTGTCATTGCTACATGAGCAATGGCGCACGTCGCAATTTTATTTAATTTTTTTTTTACAATTCTGAGGTTCCAATGCAGCTGACTCAGAACTGTAGCTTTTTTCTCAATTTATTCAAGTTTTCTTGTTGCTTGGAAACATTTGAATAAATGTTTCAACCAGCTTCCCCCCTCCTTTTTTTCCCTTTTAGCTGTTGCCACATTCATTACCCTTCTACCAAATCAGAGTAAACTGTTTGGTATCTCCTGCCTCTAAGGAAACAACACACCCATATAGTTATATTTTATTTTATAACATTTAGCTAGTGGCCAGTAGAATACTACCATTCAGATAAATTGACCTATTTTTAAATCTAACACACTCACCAGCAGTTTTATTAGTTACACCTGTTTATTGCTTTTTAACTTGTGTAGCTAACCGGTTTGAAAGTGGCACCAAATATTTGAGCAGTTCTGAGGGCAAAGGTGGGTCCAACCTAGTACCACCATAGTGTACCTAACAAACAGGCAAGTAAGGAACATTTCACACAGAATAAATGTGGTCAAACTGGTTTCATAAACATGTATTGCCTAATATGTCCTGCTGGCCACAACAAAACAATGCTTGTCAGGCCTTTTAAAGGCCCTTTTCTTCTATAAACTTCTTTGTGTTATCTTGAGCAGCGTGAGGCTTGAATGTTGTGTTAATCTGATCAGTCAAGTGGAAACATTAAGCCTTGGCTAACTGCTTCCTAAAAGGACTTAACCGCCTCTCCAAGGAGCTGTCCACATATCCTGCACTTAGTGTTATTGCTCCTTAGCTTTGGAGCCCTGTTGGACATGCTTATGGCAAAAATAAACATTCATGCCGAGACCAAGTAAACAATGACTCCCCGAAATTAAATCGGCCTCTCGTGTGAAAAGAAGTCTAACAAAAGCAAAGATTGGGAAATCTTATAAAAGAAAGTGGAAACTTTCGGTGGCCTCTGAAATATTTAGAGCAGGTTAAAGTCGGCTTTTTAAAGGTGCAAACGGTGACCGTGTTGCTCGCTGAAGGGCACCTTACCAGACTTGTTTTTACAGCGTGGGCGCCTGAGCAGATGTGACTTCATTTCTTTCACCTCAGCTAACACAAGAGCTCATCATCTGAATGCAAAACCCATCCAGTCTGTGCTGCCTGTTGGCACTGATCCATGATGCCCTTTGTCCTGCTTGCTTGACTGATTTTTAAAAATGTAAACAAATAGGAGGGATGCAGTACGGTAATGAGGCAACATTTGCTGCTCGTGAGTGTTTACACCAGCTGACTGGCATGTTGCACTAATGTTACGGCTGCTTTGGCTTGCTTGTTTATTCTGGACCAAATGCAAATGTGGAACCACATGCAGCTTACAGGTTTGAGCAGCTGTAAAGTGTTAATCTGTATAGATAAGAGAGTTAAGCCAACATCATCAGTATGTGGTGCCTGGTTTTACGCTCAGAATGAACATATTATGGTTCTGAACAAGATACATGCAAATGTTTAAGTTTGTACTCTACTTAAAACATTTGCTTCAGTGTGACAGAGCAGTTTGACAATGTATCACTGAAGCTTTATTCACATTGATGTAAAACTACTTCCCCCTAAAAGATTCCTTCTGTTTTTGTTCTTTTGTCAGATAACTTCCAATACCAAAAATAACCTGAGTAAACACAAAATGATGTTTTCAACTGACAAATTCAAGGGATGTATTAGGCCTCTTTTTTCTTAAGTTATAATAGTTCTATGATCTATACAAAGCATGTTATTGGGTTTTTTTTTTTTTACAGAGTTCCCACTCACACGAAATGGTTTCAGTATCTTCCCGAATGAGCCGTTTCAGGGCTCGGTCACTTTAAGAGAACAAGCTAAAGTTAGCCACACCCACCCCTTCCCCACTCAGGCTGCTATAAGGTGAGAAGCTCCGATATTCAGGAGGAGTTTGGAGTAGAACCACAGCTCCTCCAGCAGCAGTTATCTCTTGCACATGAGTAGTGGATAAACACAAACAGTAGGCGTGAGCAGAAGCTCTCATTGAAAATTCTCACCTGATGGGAACAGAGGAGCAGCGGGCAGCGCTTGAATTTTGTGAGCGATCTACTTTGCAGCGCTTCGCAGCTGGTGTGAACCTGGCGTTAGTTGTTCTCTGGAGAAACAAGCTCAGATGCTCCTGTTTGAGGACGTAGAACTCAGCTGGAGGAGTACGTAGCTTCAGAAATAGGATTTGGTGTCTCATTTTCTGACATTAGTACATCTTGCCTCTTATTGGATAACAGCTACGTGATATTACCACCGACTCAGTTTGCTTTGCAACTGTGACGTTATATATTTCATTATTCATCATTTTTTTATGGATATAGTGTTACAGTTGCATTGCTGTTAGCCAATCAGAGGTGAGAAGTACGAATAACAGGAAATAAGACTCCAAAACCTTCTGCTCTCTTCTGTTCTGGCTAACTTCTGCTGAAACAGAAACGCCAGAGCGTTTTCCCCACAGAGATCGACTCACAAGGCCTTCTAGAGACCAGTGCAAATTACGAGCTGCTCGTTTTATCAGATTTTAATCACAATTACGATCTCGGTTGTGAACGATTACAAACACAAAATGAGCCGATTATTTGTAACCTCTAGCAGTTTACTCTCACACTCCGAGTTGCAAATCAAGCGCACCTCCCACACAGCTTTGGCAACTTTGCAACTTTGTTGCCATTTCTAACAACTTTTCAGACCAGCTTTGTGACTTTTTTCCCAAAAGCTCCAAGCAAACAACCTATCGATTTTTCTAGTAACCCTTACCTACTTTCTATAACTTTGTTGTCGATATTCTCTGCAGGTTAGCTTAATTAAGTGAAACTTCTGCCTATACCCTTTCGGTATATCGAACTATGAGCAAGTGTGTTGCCTCTTTTACGTAAAGAATCAGGATTTGTGTTTGTGATTATCCTGTTATTTGTTGTTTTGTTTTTTTACTTATTTGTCTTTTGCTCTGATTGTGCCCTGTGCAATGTTATGACCAAATAAGTAAATTAAGTAAACGTTGATTAAAGATCGTCTTAAATAATTAAGATGACCATTGTCGCCATAATAGAGCAGCCCTGCTGCAAATGCATTGAGAAGATTAGTGAACATGGTCTTTAACCAAGGGAGGCCTACAGGGCTTTAAATGATTTTAAGTTTTTTAGAGCATGGCATGATGTTTTGCTTTTTGAGACCATTTAACCACCATCATGTTGTCATAAAGTGTTGTGCTTGGTTATTACTCAGGTTATCATTCATGCTGAAATTTGTTTGCTGATCTAAAACCTTTAAGGGAATAAAACTACAAAACCAAAGGAAATCTCAAAGGGAGAGTTCTTCTCTCACAAACTCTTATGGCAGTGTGTTATATCAAGAAAGTGCATCAATATGTTGTATGATTAAAAACACTGACGAATGGAAAAAATGCAATAGGCTTCAGGAGCATAAAAGGCTCCACTTCCTGAGGCAATTGTTGAAATAGAATCTAATATTTATAATTTATTCTTAACATGTTGAGTTTTTATTTGTTTATTCGGGACAGTGCTCATTAATGAACTATCAAATACTGTAAATGAGACAGATTATTGCATAATTGCTCATTTTCATCTGTAGTCCCAAGGCAGTAAGACCAAACACAAATCATTTTAGACGTGTTTCCACTACAAGAAATTCAGGATAGTTTTACAGGAACCTCCCGACGTGTGTGTCTCCACCTGACCGGGCCGTCCGATTGGCCGTTTTCAGGAACCTTCTGAACACCTGCACAGAAGCAGGTACTCCGAACGGCCTGGTGGAGTAGCTGAGCGGAACCTCAGGTAAACTCACACTGATTGGTTGTAACTCAGTAGGAAATGCCATCAGCAGTTGTCCAAAACAACCGGCAGCAGTAAAATTAGAAGAGTAGCTGGTGAAGCAGAATGGAAGCAAAAAACAAAAAAGCACAGATCGCATTTAAAATCTAACTCTGGACACCGGATACTTCCCCCACAGCTGTTGGAAAAAACGGGGGAATTCCCCCACAGACCACTAGCGATGGGTACCGAATTCGGTACTTTATAAGGTACCGACCAAATTCCATAGTACCGACTGAGCACCGATTCACGTCATTTGAAACGGTGCCTCGTTTGCGAGGTCCATAATGAGAACTTGCCTAGACAGCTGCGCATGACAAGAGCGTTATGTCGGTCACTGCGAGCCAGTTGTAAACAGAGCAGCATGGGTAGAAAGAACGCAGGCTAAAGCTTGGGTTCACTTTACTAAATGTGATGGGTAACAACCGGCGACAAGGATCTAAGTGAGACATCCTCATCTTAATCTGCTCCGGTTGGTAAATAAAATGTTTAAGATAACGTTAGCTTGATATGTTAGCTTCTGTTCCGCTAATGGTGTGTTCGGTTTCTCCTCGGAACTCCAAATTTCCGACTAGAAGAACATGAAAGCGCTCTAAAGTTTGGCTTCACTTTACTAAATGCGACGGGTGATTGGGTGAAGATGAAACCAGCGACAACGATCTAAGTGTGAGGCATCATCGTTTTAGTCTGCTCCAGCAGCTAAATAAACTGTTTAAGTTAACGTTAGCTTGATATGTTAGCTTCCATTGCCACCGTTGTTATCAGCTAATGGTGCGTTCGCTTTCTCCTCGGAAATTCTAACTTCCCAGCAGGAAAAATCAAATTAAAAAAGACGGCAAAAGGAATGAAGATACTCAGTAAATTTAGTTCACAGTAAAGATGTTTGCTTCAGTTTAATTATCAGCTTATAAAACTACAAGGACGATGTTAAAATACAAACAGTTGAATGTTATTTATCGTGATATTCATCAAATATTGTTATATATTGAGAAAAATATATATTTAATTATAAGAGAGAATTAAAATATTAAACACTCAAAAGTATCTAAAATTGGTACCGTTAAGTACCATATCGATTCCTAGGTACCGGGAATTAGTACCGAATCGATTCAAATGTCAAAGGTACCCATCCCTACAGACCACAGACTTAATTGACGAGTCTTGTCTCACAAAATTCAGAGCTGCTATTGTCCTCTGAATGGATGAAATCATTATATACTTCTATAAAATAAACACTTTTAATACTATCAATGTTACTTTGGGTGCTTTTGGGGGCTGATCAGTGACATCACTCAGTTCTGAAAGGGCTGAATTTGAATGGAGACACAGCAGCTGAGAGAACTGGGACATCCTATCTCCTGATAAAGTTCCCCATCCCAGGAACTACCCTGGAGTTCTGGTAATGGAAACATGCCTTATGACAATATGTAATTAACAAGCAGGTAATCACATTAACAACACATCCTCCTTATTCTTTTGCTTTTCTTCTTATTAATATTAGCCTACAAAAACTTCAGATTCTGAGTTTTAGGACTATTAGTTTGTGTTGAAAGGTGATAGTTAAAATGAGTCAGTATATTTGTGGGTTTAGTTCCTGTGTTCAGACAGAATTCCAGACCTGTTCAGGCTTCCTCCACAGCAGCACTTGGGCTGCCTTAGGAGATGTTCTGTGCATGCTCTCACCATGCAGAATGTTATTGTTGCTCTGTCTCACTCCTGTCTCCTGTCTTGTCTTGGTTCAATCGGCTGGCCTTGGACTCGGATCGTTGCCTGCCTGCCTGCCTGCCTGCCTGCCTGTGTGTGTTCATGTCATGTTCCTGCACCACCACCAACTCAACCACCACCTTTGTTGACCCCCCTCCCACTTCATCTAAAGGCTATGAGAAATCCCGGAGTTTAAACAACATAGCAGGCACTGTCGGTAACACCCTGAGGTTGTCTCCTGTGACCTCGCCCTATGGATCACCCTGCCCCCTGCGCCGCTCTCGTTCCCCTATCCCATCCATCCTGTGAAACATCCAGTTCTTGGCTGCTTCGGCCCCAAACCACGCCATCACAAGCCCTGACAGAACACCCAGCTTTGGCGTGAACTCTACTCTTGATGTGGCTAAATGATAAGTAGCTCACGTTGCACCAATCTGTACAAGTTGTTGTCATACTGATGAAGGTACATGTGCTTAGCTAACAACCCTAACTCGATTGTTCTGCTGTGAGTTCTCTTTGGTTTGATATTGTACTTTGAGACTTGCAATAAAAAAAAAACAGGTGGCTTCATAATTAGCAGCCATATACATTCAATTCATATGAATATTCAGGGATATTGTATGTTTAGAAACCATGAAAATGATGTGCTTCCACAAAGAAAGAATAAAGAAAGAGTGAGAGATGTCAGGTACTGTTAACTACATACGACTGTGACTTTATGTGAAGGTCTGTTTCACGGGGACATGGATGGAGGACTGATCTGTCAGAACTTAACTTTCAGCTCACAAAAGCACACGTACAGTCTTGTCTCTTTTCACCAGCGGCTGAGCCTGCTCATGTGTATGCACGGATCATTGGGTAGCCATCTTTGGTGAACAATGTGGCATGGAAAAGGAGACAGACATGAATTTTTATTCAAAGTTTTGATCATTCAAATGGGTTTATGTTTTTTTTTTCTTCGCCAACAAAGCTGTTGTGTTTTTGGTTGTTTGCTAACAGATAACTGCAAAGAGGTGGTCTTTACTGGTTTCACACAAGCAGAGAGCAGCGTTCTATCTTAATGGCTTGAAGGAAGGAACGGCGGAGGCAGAAAGGTAACCGTCTAAAAGCCATGTGATGAAGGTTGTTCATCAATCATAACCTATGTGTGTGTGTATGTGTGTGTGTGTGTGTGTGTTTGCACAATTGTGAGGCATTGTTATTCAGTGAAATGTTGCCAAAATAAACTATGAAAATAACTGCTGTGAACAACTAAGAGGGGAGATGATGGGTTTAAAATCAGCTGGTTAGTTTGCTCATGCCTACCCAAATTTTAAAATACTTGCAAAAGCATTTTTCAGCGTCAGACTGAAGCAACACATCTGGAAAACATGCCCCACCCCTTTTAGTTCCCAAAGTAAGAGTGAGCATGTAAAGTATGACTGCTATGTTGTTACTTTAAATGCTCCATGTGCCACAAATACCCGGGGGTGCCAAAAACAGACTGTCTGAATCATAGCTTTTCGCTGCATAAAATAGATTTGTGTGGAAAGGAGGATCGAAAAGCTTCTAAAAGGGTACTGAGTAGATAGCTTTGCTCCTGTTTCTTTGCCTGAGTTAACCAAACTAGTCAACTCTATGAAGACCTCTGCATGCCCCCTCGACATCTTACCCTCATCTTTGTTTAAAAGTGCTTTTCAGTCCATCGGTCCCAGCGTGCTCTCTATAATTAATGCTTCTCTGGTCTCTGGTCAGGCCCCTGCTTACATTAAGAACGCTGTAATCCACCCGCTTCTTAAAAAACCGAGTCTTGACCCTTCTCTCCATAGCAGCTTCAGACCCATCTCTAAACTTCTGTTCATCTCCAAGATCTTGGAAAAGTTTGTGGCTAAACAAGTCACAGCTGCTCTTGATGAACATAACATCTATGATTGCTTCCAGTCAGGTTTTCGTAGAGCTCATTCTACTGAAACAGCTCTTCTTAGGGTCTCTAATGACCTTCTGACTCACAGTGATGTAGAGGACTGTTCTGTTCTGGTCCTGCTGGACCTGACTGCAACCTTTGACACTGTTGACCATCACCTGCTACTGGAGAGGCTGAGGGACTGGGTAGGCCTATCAGGATCTGCTCTGGAGTGGTTCTCCTCTTATCTCTCTGAGCGCTCCTTTTCTGTGGCCGTCTCCAAGCTTAGGTCCTCCACCACCTCCCTTACCCATGGTGTCCCACAAGATTCTGTGCTGGGGCCTCTGCTCTTCCTCCTCTATCTGCATCCTCTTCAGCACATCCTGAGCTCCTTCAAAGGAATATTCTACCATCTTTATGCAGATGACATCCAACTGTACATCTCCTTTAAGCCCCATGAGATGTCTAAGCTGCAGCTGTTACACACCTGCTTAGACTCTATCAAAACCTGGATGGCTGGGAGCTTTCTACAGCTGAATGAAGATAAGACTGAGATCCTCATCTGTGCCCCAGACAAGCTGGTTCCCAAAGTCAGAGACTCTCTTGGTCAGCTTGCTTCTCGCACCAAACCTTCTGTCAGGAATCTTGGTGTGACCTTTGACCCAGCTCTCACCCTGGATTCTCATGTCAGTTCTCTTGTTCTCTCTTCCTTCTTCCATCTCAGGAACATTGCTAAGCTGAGTCCCATTCTGTCCCGCTCTGAACTTGAGACAGTTATCCACACCTTCATCTCCTCACGCTTAGACTACTGTAACTCTCTTTTCACGTGTCTGAGCAGAACCTCCCTGAACCGTCTACAGGTGGTTCAGAATGCCTGTGCTTGGCTTCTGACCAAGTCCTCCAAACACACCCACATCACCCCGCTTCTCCTCCAACTTCATTGGCTGCCAGTCAACTTCAGGGTTCATTTCAAGATCCTGGTTCTGGTCTATAGGGCCTTACATGGACAAGCACCATCTTACATTGGTGATCTTCTTAGTCCCTACACCCCCAGCAGGTCCCTGAGGTCCAGTGATCAAAGCCTACTGGTTGAGCAGCACCAGGCTAAAGACCAAAGGTGACAGATCATTTGCTGCTGTGGCCCCCAGACTCTGGAACTCTCTCCCCCTGAGCCTGAGATCAGTGGACTCAGTGGTCTCCTTTAAAAAACAGCTGAAGACTCACTTGTTCAAGCTGGCTTTTGTATGTCCTTCACCACTCTCTCTTTATTCTGCTCTCCCCACCTATTCCACCTTCCTCAGGATCCACTGATTTCCCTCTTTCCTATTCACTCTCTCTCTTTCTTAACATTTTTTAATCACAATTGTCTATTTTTTGCTCATTTAAAATATATTTTCAACCATGTTCTAAATTCTTTTTTATATTTTTACATTTTTTGTTTTTGTGAAGCGCCTCGTGATTTTTATCTTGAGAGGTGCTATAGAAATGATATTTTTTTCTTCTTCTTCTTCTTCTAGTGTGGGCGGAGCCTAATCAAGGAAATTGAGGGTTTTGAATCAGCTAATTAATTTAATTAATTCAATCAATTAGCAGAGGATATTTCCCCCCGCCTTCCATCACCACCACCACCACCCACACACACACTAAGTGTCTTTCCCAGTCTTTGTATAACAGTAAACTCCTCTCAGCTGATGTCAGAGCAGGAGACGTTAATCCCTGTGCGTCCACACTGCCAATAAATCATACACATTATGCAGATCAAGTGATGGCATCATTTAGCAATTTCTAGGACAGCTAATAGCGTTTACTTATTAAGGAGTTTTCTCAAATGTGTTGCTCCAATCTATGAAATATATCTTGTCAACTAGAAAGCAGGAGCTGGGATTTGTTTTCTTACAGCAGACAAACCTGGATTTGGTTCAGGTGTGTTTTAAGTGGTGAAGTGGCTGTTTGTCTTTACATTAGACGGTTTCATCACAACACAATCACTCTGCACATCAACAGGTGAGGAGCAGCAGATCTCACCAAGCAGCAGCCTTCCTCACCCATCCCTAAAGTGTGTCTATACCAGAAGCACAAGGTTGCTTAGCAACTGGTTCACAGTTAGATGCATCTTACACTCAGTTTAGGCAAAAAGTCAAACAATTAAAAGTCCAGGGGTCTCATTTATCAAACATTGCGTAGAATCCTTACTAAAACCGTACTTAAGCTCAGCAAAAAAAAAAGTACTTACACCAACTAGGTTTGTGATCTATCAAACATGGAGTACGCACAGCTGCACGCAATCTCCGCTTCATAAATCGGTGACTAACGAGAATGTTTCTCAGCTGCATTTTAGTCACATCCCGCCCTCACCACGCCCACTTACTGCCATAAATAGTCAATGCAAAGTGCCTTGTGGATCTCATACATACACATAGGCTGTCTGTTGCAGCGCTCCGCCAATGAAATGGTGACCGTAGATCAAGCCAGATCAAGGAAGCGCAATTTCACAGAAGAAGAAATTCAGGTACCTGTGGGTGAGGTGGAGAAATGAAAGGAAGTGCTTTTGCAAAACTAATAAGAGAAAATCCACGGAGTGGCACAACGTTGCTGAAGCCGTCAATGTTGTGAATTCTTCAGAGATCTGTGGCGGATATAAAAAAATGGTCCAATCGGGATCCGATCCCCATACTCCCGGGTGAAAGTTACGCACGCTGACCAGTTAGTCAAATGGAGATCTCCCCGTACAAGTAGCCAGGGCGCATGATCAATCGGGTCACAGTGACAGGACACACACTGTCACAGACGTTCGGCAACGGTGGACAGACATTCTGTCTCTATCTGTCCGCCTGCTGATATTCTGCATTCCGTATTCTGCGCTTCAGGCTGTGTGTGTGTGTGTGTGCGAGCGCGCGTGTGAGTGTGGACGCATGTGTGTGTACGAGCGTGTGTGTGTGCATGTGGGGGGTCTTGTTCTGTGTGAAAACGAAGCAGTACAAGTGATAATGCTGCAGGATTTCATAATTTTATCCTTCTCAGCAGCAGCACTGCAGGTGCTCTCCATGTCCAAAATGTACGTAAGCCAGGTCCTTAGTCAACTTAAAGTTACGTGCATTTTTTCGCTAAGTTTTCTTTGATAAATCCCAAAGTTTGCGTGGAAAGTTGCTTATGCAGTTTTCTGACCCTGTTTTGTGCGTAAGCAAGCTTGATAAATGAGGCCCCTGCTCTTGCAAACATTTCTCTTTGTCCCTACACCTAAACATCGATCCTCACTTCTCTGATGAGTAGATCACAACTCCTGATTCTTTCACGTCATTCTGTTCCAACTGATCCATGCATGGCAATTTCTTTTGAAGTGATAGAGAGAGGATGCATTTCTGATATGTAGAGATGTGTTTATTTTAAAGATGTTATTCATATCATGTTTAAATGGCAGTTTGTGATCAGTATTGACCACCTATTGCAGTGGAGGAACCATTTTGGAGCCATAACGCCACCCCCAAAGGACAATTTGGAGGAGGCCGTGCAGAAACTGATGACTCAAAGCCTCCCAGCTGGAGCTTCAGCCAGCTTGGGAGCAACTTAATGGTCCTTAAGAATTCTGGGAAGACTTTCACACTTTCCTGAGTTCTCCTTTCTTTTGTCTGTTCCTGTTTTGGAACTGGATGAGAAAAAAACAGGACAAGAAACTGTCTGTGATGAACGTCGCTCTTGTAAATACAAAAGAAAAAATTACAGCACAACTGGGCCAGGCTGCTCTGTTCACACATCTGTCTTTTGATGGCAAGTCAGGTATCAAGATGGTTGGTTGCACCGTGACACTTAATCACTTCTCTTGCTGTGGTGTCTCCTCTCGCAATAAGTGTTTCAAGATGTAACAGTTGAGGCACTTTGTGTTTTAAAAATGGAGTCAATTCATATAGAAAGCTGCTTATGGTTTAAACAGTGTAGAGACGAGATGAATAAATCTGACACCATGGACTAATGCCTTTGTTTTTATTGGTAACTTCAGTAGGTTATTTGCTCTAAATGTGTGTGGGTGTGTGTGTGTGTGTCCTAAAACTGCAGGTTGAGATCTGTAGTTTGAAAGACCGGGTCATGGACCTTTGAGTGGAGCTGATGCTGAATCTTCCAGTTAGTTTTAGCACAAACCTGAATAAGACAGAACCCCCCACCCACCCGTGTTGCAGCTGCCACTGCAGAAGTCCCTTTCCTCGTTCATTTACCATGCAACTTACCCTCGATAGTGCTGCAGTTTTGTTCTCTTTGCAAACCAAACTATTCTTGCCAGAATAATCCTCATAAGTCCTGGTGGCTAAAAAGAACCACACACACACACAACTGCATGACTTGATTCTTCCAAACCTTTTTTCCCCATGCGGGAATGGAGCAAAAGTGTAGCAGAAATTAATCAAGTCTTACAGTAGGACTTCTGCAGCGGCTACACCTGCACAGTAGCAACCCCTCAAACCCAAACAATCAAATCGGATTTGCAATAAGCACCCGAAAACAAAATGCACCGATTCACACTGTGATTTCAGCAGCCCGTTTAAAACAAAACAAACAAACAAAAAGGGCAGAAGAAAAAGCTGCTGGGCAGGACTCACAAGTGGCACAACTCATGTGGCATGTTGGTAGCGACCTGAACAGTTTTAGGCTGGCTGTTCACCCTGTACCCACAATCCTCTCTGTGTAGTAAACATGCTGCTTTACTCTTTTGATTTGTCAAAGAGAAACTTGTTCTTGTGTATTTCTAGGCTGATGTTGTAAGTAGCAAGCAAAAAGGTGTTTATTTTTTTGAATCCAGAAATGTATTTTTGTGTCTTTCTGTAAAACCCATGGTAGTCTGATGCTGTGCTTCTCCACCGTGTCTTCGAGCTGTCAGGCTTTTGATCCCAGATTATGTTTTGTATGTTTTACTGTGGGGAAAATTCTAGTTTTAACTGTATATCTGTGGAGCCTTTTGTTGTCATTTTAAAGTGCATGCTGACAAAAAAAAAACACATTATGTCAAACTGTAAAATATAATGACCTGTTGTATATCACACTATGTATAGAGTCAAGGTAAATGCTATGTGAGAGTTTCACATAAACTATTTATCTTTTATCCACTCGTCTCTGTGTTTTTTTGTTTGTTTTCTTCCAATCTTTGGGAATATAATTATATATGTCTTCTTCTTAAATTGGATTCATACCTTTTTATTATTTATGTTGTAAAACAAGCCTTGTTGTTGATTTAAAGGTTGAATATGAAACTATTTAATAAAAATCTATATTTTTAAAAATCCTTCCTCCACGGGGCATTTAGAGGTGTGTAGAATGAAGGTACAGTATTTCCTTTAAAAGCTACATTTTAATTAAAAAACAATCTAATATTTATTTTGACGGGCATGTCACTGGGTTTATGTTTACATCTACCAGCCAGTAGAAGGCACCATTGTGGGTTGCCAAACAGTCCGCTCGGCACAGCGAGGCTGGCACCATGGAAAATGGTGGACTCTGCAAATCAGGCAGATGCTTCTGAGCCCAGAAGATGTTGTTATCCTTCTCAGAAGAGGAGCGACCATAAAAGATCTAAAACCAGAGTGAGTTTAGTTGAAGCCTACAACAAATGGACCCGAATATAAATGTTCAGATATCAGCAGCGAACCTGGTATCCCAACAACTGGAAACCGTGTTCTATTGTTGTAACTACAATCTCCATAGATGTTGCTTTGGTGTTTGTGTTCCATTTGCCACCTTTAGTAGAAGAAAACGCGTCAAGGCTCTGAACAGTTTTACTTTATTCCCAAGCCTGTATAAATAGAGGCAAGGCACAGCCAAGGTGTTGAGGGGATCCATTTTGGTGGCCTAAGGATCGGGTCTCTGCTTTTTGCAGATGATGTAGTCATGTTGGCATCATCAGAATGAGATCTCCAGCTTTTGCTGGAGTGTTTCACAGCAGAGTGTGAAGCAGCTGGGATGGGAATGAGCTACTCTAAATCCGAGACATGGTTTTGAGTCAGAAAACGGTAGATGCCTTCTCCAGGTCAGGGATGAGGTCCTGCCTCAAGTGGAGGAGTTTAAGTATCTCGGGGTCTTATTCATGAGTGAGGGAAAAATGAAGCGTGAGATCAATTGGCGGATTGGTGCTGCATCTGCAGTGATGCAGGCGTTGTACTGATCTGTTGTGGTGAAGAGAGAGCTGAGCCTTCACATCAAGAGGATCCAGTTGAGGAGGCTCGAGCATCTGGTCAGTATGCCTCCTGGTGAGGTTTTCCAGCTTCAGCCAGCCAGAAGGAGACCCAATTAAAGACCATGGGCACACTGGAGAGACTGTGTTTCTTGGCTGTCCCCACTGAACACCTTGGGATTTCTCTGGAGGTGCTGGCCCAACTGGCTGGGGACAGGGATGTCTGAGTCTCTCTGCTTAGGCTGCTGCCCTGACAACCACAGCAGATGGACGGATCAGTACTTACCGTATTGTCCCGAGGATAGAACGACCCTGATTATAAGACAACCCCCCTTTCCAAGACTAATCTTCAGGAAAAGACAAAAAAAGCCTGTTTTTAAATAAACTGGCTTTATTGAAAATTTGAGAACAAATAATGAGCAAAAATACTATTTTAATGCAAACTATCAGAATTATGCTGACATGTGAAATCAAAAGGCAAAATGAGGCTTTCATTCAGACGTCCTCTGCCTCGCTGTACTCACTCACATGCTGCTGCGGGGTGTACCATCAGATCGCTGCACCTGCCGGCTCCTCCCACTGAATTTCATCCTCACTGCCATCCAGTACATCCATGCATGCAATGTTTGACGCCTCTGTTGAATTGAATTAAAATGTGCACAACTCTGCCTTATAGCTTGTTAACTTGCCCCACTTTCGGTCCACTCTACCCCAGACCTCTCGTCTCACTTTTTTTCTCCTGTTGAGAACACATAGCCTGGCGCCCTCTGCTGTTACAAGCGTGTAAAGGTTAGACCCCGATTATAAAACAACCTCACATTTTAAAATTATTTTCAATGAAAAAACTTTGTCTTATGTTCGGGTCAATACGGTATTCATGCTTAGACTCTGCCCTCAGCAAGGGGGTGGCAGGGACATCCAAGAAAGCTGTCAGGGTGGCACCTGCCCTCTCTGGAACCCCTCTAGGTTCACCCCTGTCACTCCAAATCATCCTTGTCTAAAGGCGGTTTCACACTGGAAGCAACAGCAGCGCTAAATGGCAGAGGAACGGTTTACTCGCAAACTTTAAAGTGGTCCATTTCACACCGGGAGAGTCTTGGCTGCAGTGTGGCTTCCTCACTGTGCTCTTCACTGGACTCGCAAGGTCACAAAATCCCTTGAGACTTTAAAGGTCACGTTTTTTTATGCAATCTTTCATTAAACCATAAAGAAGGAAATCATGTTTAATACTGCTGTTAAATGTCATATATGATGGCATTCCTCCACCGCCAGGATTAAAGCCATGAAAAACACACCGCTGCAATTATGTAACGATGCTGGAAGTAAATAAGCCGTTGGATCACATGTAAGTTACATTTATATATGAAATAGTCTTGCTGCAGTACTTTTATTTTGAAAATTACTGGGGGATTTACACTGAAACCGTGTGTGATTTCCTGTCTCGCCTTACCCACTGTGCAAAAACCTAGTTTTGACATCTTACAGATGTGGTCTGGTCCGACGGACTCAATATAAACATGATCAGCGCATCCATGTGACGTTGACTGTTTACAGGGTATGTTAACAGAGGACACTGACATGTCCCAGAAGTGGCTCATGGCACCAATAGAATCCAATCCCATCTTTAGCTTCTGGGACGCGCCTGAAAATTGTCGCATCATAGCTGGTTTGAAACACTCCATAGATTCTAATGGATTCTGTCTGAAGCAGCGATGTTCCGCTGCCATTCCGCGCCGCCGATGCTTTCAGTGTGAACCCGGGGTGAGGCTGTTAATCCAACCAATAACATCCAATGAGTGTGTTTTCTTATAAAAATATTATTATTCATAATACAGTAGAGATACCTGCCAATTAGAGCTGAGGTGACTCAAGTCTCATTACTCCAGCAACACAGGTGTGATTTTACTCTGCATCAAGCTCTATGCAGCTGCAAATGTCACCTCCCTTTGAAATCATGAGGCAAATGAAGCAGCTGGTGCCTGAAAAAAGTCTACATTTGGTAATGGTGAGTTGCCACTGCCCTCTCCCACTTCCTGCACTTGCTGTTCATTCTTCAGCTCACGTCCGGTGATCAGCAACACTCGGCACACTGTATGTGAGACATCTCAACTATCTTTACTCCAGTCGTCATGGAAACAACCACAAACGTTCCAAAGAGATGTAAACAGCCAGAGCTTGAAGCATGGTTTTTTTTGGAACAAGACGCTTCTCCCCCTTGCTCCTCTTTCTCCACCTCCCATCCTGGGAGGAGGGAGAGACGCGTGAGGCCAGAGGCAGAACATCTAAAATACCAAATTCATGACATGAATATTGCATCTGGAGTTGTTTTAAGCAAATGCACATGTGACCAAAGCAGTCTCATGAGTTTGAAATGGTGGAGATGTAGATAGACCAAAAATGTGTTTACATAAAAGCATATTTTAATATATTACAAAGCGGGCTGGTACTTAATATTATAGAAGTGTCTTTAAAAACAGATACTGCAGCTCACTTCGACACAGTGGAAATAAGTAATTACCATATTGATCCGAATGTAGGACGAGCCCGATTATAAGACAACCCCCCTTTCCAAGACTAATCTTCAGGAAAAAACAAAAAATGACTTTATAAATAAACTAATTTGAGAACAAATATACAACAAATTACTATTTTAATGCAAACTGTCAGAACTTTGCTGACATGTGAAATCAAAAGTCAAATGAGGCTTTTATTTAGACGCCCTCTGCCTTGCTGTACTCACTCTCTCTGCTGTGGTCCTGGTGTACCATCAGATCGTTAAACCTACCGACTCCTCCCAGAACGTCATCCTCACTGCCATCCAATACATTTATGCATGCAATGTTTAACGGCTTCTGCTTAAATGAGTTATGCAAATCTTAAAATTTGCAAAACTCTGCACTCCTTTCTATGTTCTATTGTTCGTGTGTTGAGTTGGCGTCCGGTTTCTCCTATGCATGTTTTATTGCAAAGTTTACATGGGATTTTGTAAATGACTCCACATTTAAGTCCAGCTGATATTTAGTCTTTTGGGTGCACTAGTCTGTTTCTAACTGTTGTGTATGGTTTTGTTGGTGTGTTTATGTTGTGTTTTTTCATTGTTGCTCTTATGTTTTCTGTTATGCCTTTGATGTATGGTAAACCAGTGATAACCTCCGAATAATAGAACACAGAAAGGAGTGCGAGAAAGAGGCAAGTCGAAAACACACAAGAGCAGCAAAAGAAGAAGCAGAAAGCACAATAAAGAAGTTAGCCGTAACACATCACTGCATACGAGAAAACCATATAATGGACTGGGACAACACAAGGATCATAAACACCGAACAACAAAAATACAAAAGATGGATTAAAGAAGCAATCGAGATAAGGAGACGTGGATGTGGGACCATGAACAGGGATGATGGAGTTTACACGTTGGATCGCGCATGGGACTGCATCGTCGGAGAGGGGAGAGCGGGCAGCAGAGGGCGACAACGTCCTCTGCTGCCCGCGGATAAACGGAGAAGGAAGTGACACCACCATCAGCATCAGCCTGAGGAAGTCTGCAGCCGCAGACGAAACGTAGCGCGGGAAAACAGGTAACAAAACTGTTTCTGTGTTTTAAAAAAAACGACAGCATGGAATCCTCCACTTCATGTCAGTAAGTATGTGTGATAACTGATGTGCACTCCTCCTTAGTTTAGGTTTGACTCTTTATTTAGCTCCAGGGAGAAGAATAGAATAGATAGAACAATGTGAGTCTACATAGACAAACTGAGATAAAGACAGAATAAATACAAAAAAATTACATTTTTCAAACAATGAATCATTAGGACATGGGTCGGCAACCGGCGGCTCTGGAGCCGCATGCGGCTCTTTCATCCATCTGATGCGGCTCCCTAGACTCTGCTTGTAAACCAATTAAGGAATATTTAATTACAATGTATTTTATTCATGTT